AGAGTGGGGATATTAAGCTCAGGGAATGCACAATGTCTACCACCATACGGCCAAGTTGCTTTAAGCAACTTGGTACCAAGGTTCTCCATATTTCTCTCTCTCTCTCTATATATATATATATATAGAGCAAAACTTGTGTCCACTTAAGTGGACATCCACCAAACTTTTTAACCCTTGGATGTTTCCTAGGGATCCTTGCATGATATGAAGTGACTTTTTATATGTTAAATGAGTGGATATAAAGTTTGGTGGACACACTATTCACTATCCACTTAAGTTGACACAAGTTCTCCTCTATATAAGCCCAAAAATTCAGCTAACTAAATATTTAAGAGAATGGTAAGTAAACCAAACAAACATCCATATAACACAATAAACAACAAGTATTATATTTTTAAGTTAACTAGTAAGGTGCACGTGCTTTGCACGTGTGTCCATTTTCTTGTTTATATGTGGGCATTGCAATGTTAATTTTATTTTTCTATTTTATAATTTTATTATTTAATTGCAATTTAAATTAGTTTGATTTGCATTAACACTTTATTAGATATCAGATTAGTTTTTCTAATCATAAAACTTATACAATCTATTTAGGGTAAATTTCGCAAATGCCCCTGAATAAATCCCTTTAATTTTTAAAATGTCACAAAAATCTTTTAAGTTTTAAGGCTCTCAAAACACCACATTTAAACCCTAAAAGCGTGAAACCCAATTTTTATTGCCAAAAATATCACTCTGCATAATTTTACTCATATGTGAAAAAGTACGAAGTAAGGATTATTGTAATTAAGAAGGATTTTTTGAAAATTGTTGAATGGCCTATTTATTCGCATCCCATGGCCATGCCATTCATTAGCCTTTTGAGATGATACTTTAAGGTTTTGAATTTTATTATTAATTCATTATTCGCATAATTTTTCTAAACTAATTGCCAATTTAGTAATCAAAGTATTTTTGACTTGCTATTAGACCCAAAAACTTATGATATGAGCAGATATATGTGAAAGAACAGTCTTATATCTCTCCTTTCAGTACCTGGTTAGTGCACGTGCATTGCACTTTGGCATACTTGTTTTATGTTCCAATGAGCAAATCCAAAATAATTATTCAACTAATATGTGAGTCATTTAATACAAAGTAACTATTATAAAAAATTATATAAATTACTTTTGATGGCTGATGAAGAAAAATATTATTATAGAGAATGTGCTACATATGGTTCACATACTAAACAACCAAAGGGAAAAAAATGAAGAAAAATATTATTATAGAGAATGTGCTACATATGGTTCACATACTAAACAACCAAAGGGAAAAAAAATCATATCATACATACTTTAATGCTATTTTTTTTTTCTAAAATATGGATCTATTACATTGCAATGGTCAGATAGAGCGTAGCATGTTAGATTTGGCAAAATAAATGTTCAAGTAAGATATAATTATAGGGATGGTTGTAATCTGTTATTAAGACCACCAATAAATAATATAATGGATTTGTAAATAAAGTTTTTTTTATCCTAGTATTCCTAAATCGGGATTTTAGGATACATTAAAAAAAGTATTTTTGATGGCTGTAAAAATTAAATTTTAAAAGTAATGAAGAAAAATACTATTATAGAGAATGTGCTACATATGGTTTACATACTAAACAACCAAAGGGAAAATACGTTATATCATACATACTTTAATGTTATTTTTGTCTAAAATATGGATCTATTACATTGTAATGGTCAGATAGAGCGTAGCATGTTAGATTTGGCAAAATAAATGTTCAAGTAAGATATAATTATAGGGATGGTTGTAATCTGTTATTAAGACCACCAGTAAATAATATATGGATTTGTAAGTAAAGTTTTTTTTATCCTAGTATTCCTAAATTGGGATTTTAGGATTTTAGGATATAATTTACACTTTGGAGATAATAAATTATATATTATTTGCTACTCTCATTTGAAATTAAGAACTATTATGTGATTTTACTTTGTGCATGATGAACTCCAAGCTACACCATCATCAACCTCCATAAGTTGCACATACATTATAAAAAATAGCTTCCACAAATTGAAGTCCGGTCCTAAAATAAATAAAATTTATCAAAATAAAAAATCGAAACTCCTCTCCTTTCATCCAAAAAAGCAAGTGATATGCCTCGCTTTTCGATGCTGACACGTGCATCTGTATTAGAAATAAACAATTTAATCACTAATCCCCAAATGAATCCAAATAAATTTTTGAATAAACATAAAAAACTGTATGTAGTCAGTTAACATAAAAAAAATTAGTATATTAAATTAGAATAGTGCATACCATAAGAACTGTTAGTATAGCGCACAGTTAAGCTTCTCCTTCAATTCGTGCACACATTTAACTAAACATTGAAAAAAATGTTAAAAAATAATATATATTTCACTCACTTTGTAATTGTCATCAAATATATTCAAGCAATTATTATTCAATTTGTAATTGACATTAAAAACAACGTTATATAATTTACAACCAAAACCCATTAAAGTTTAAATTTAAATACCGAAAAAGAATTTGAAAATCTCACATAACCGCTAATCTGTGATTTGGAGGCTTTACTTCTCCATTTGTTATAGTATATGTTTCTCCCTTTATCAATAAACCGCTGAATTTTTCTATCAGCTTATTAAATAAAATTGTTTGGATAAGTGTTCTCTGCAAAAGGCACAATGTAGAATAAATCACGTCATCACGGTAATATGAAAATTACATGGAATAATAACAATGTGAAATTCGTATCACCTCTTCATCAATTAGAATCAACTTTTGCTTATTCCCTTCTCCATTCTTAAAGGAGTCTATATTATTACGTAAAACATGAACATTTATACTCCATTGTTTTGATAAATTTTTAACTCTCAGATCGGGATGTTGGCTTGATCATTAGTTCCATCTTGATCAGATAACATGGTTCATGAAAAAAAAATATAATTTATAGAGTTAATTCGTAGTTTATACCTTACAAAAAACATGCTTTTACTAACCTTTTTGAATCACATAGTGTTGTTTCCATCACCTCCTGTTTTATTTTATTTTTTGGTACGATTTGATGAGATTTTGTAAGATGGAAGTTGAGTATGGATTATATTTATAGGAGATAGAAGAGACAAAAGTGTAAACAACATTTAGTACATAATTAAAAGTGCATTTGATAATGGGAGGTTACAAAAGTGTAAACAACATTTAGTACATAGTTATGAGTGCGGTTTTTCAAGTGAGGTGTGGAGGGGAAAAAATCAATTGTAACTGATATCTTATCAATTGCAATTAGCTGCCGAGGAAAATTGTTGGTTCTTTTTGACCAACAAATAGCAATATAAATATGAACTTCCTATGTTTTTTTCAATTGTAACTGATGTCTTATCAATTGCAATTAATATTTAATAAAACAATTACAAATATATAATGGACCTCCCTGCGTTTCCACATTAAAAGACATCAGTTATGAGTGCGGTTTTTTTTGAATGAATTAAAAGACATCAGTTACAATTAAAAGACATCAATTGCAATTAGTTGCCGAGGTGTGGAGGTGTGGAGGGAAAAAATCAATTGCAACTGATGTCTTATCAAGTGCAATTAATATTTAATAAAACAATTACAAATATACATAGTTATGGTTTATGCATGTATCTATATGTTTTATTATGTATGTACTGTTATGTTTTGTATGTATGTGTTTTAATATAAATTTGTATGTTTTATGTATGTGTTATGTTATGTATGTATATGTTTTAACATAAATTTGAGGGCATTTTGTGAAGAAATGTTTTAACATACCAACACACTTTTATAATAGTATTAGATATGTAGGGCTCATTCAGAACAAACTATCAAAACAAAACCATCTCCATCAAGGCTCTTTACAATACAACAAAAATTTAACTTAGCAATATTTTGCAGGCATCACAACATTCGAAAGATGTATGATCTTAAAAAAAACATACTCTATAATTCACACAATTAGACCTAATTATAATTTACCAATATACAGCTACGCTATTGCACCTTTAAGGCAAAATAACTACCAATTATAATAGACATGAGCTGTGGTTTTACACTTGCAAATGCCGCAATAAGAAGGTGGATTTAGATGTTTATAACGAGTGTCCAAATGAGAAATCTAGGTCTAGCCTGATGTCACAATCAACATAGATGATGAATACACCACTCAAGAATTACCCTAGAAAAAGATAAAAGTAAAGAAAACTTGATCTCGGCTGAATAAAAAATTAAACAGAAAGAATAAAATACAATATTAAGAATAAAATACAATATTTTCTTAATATTTTATAAAATAGCCTAATTTTTTGAGTAAAATTAGGAATATTTAGAAGAGATTTTCACAAAATTTTAAATATTTTTATATACTTATTTTGTGGACGCTTTTATTATAAAAAATTATACTAGAATTAGCATTAATATTTAGTTTATGGTTTTTAATGAAGTCTACCAGTGATTATGAATAAATCCATATTCTCTTTTGTGTCATTGCAGCCACTTCTAATCCTCTTGCTATTGTAATGCTATTTTTTAAATATTTTTTTTTTACTTTTGTAACACTTTAATTCCTTAAGTAAAGCTTCATTTCATGTCGATCCAAATAACATGAATATTCAAATTGGCTTCACATTGGTTTCGTGTCAATTCAAATTTTATCAACATGATACTTAAAATTGGGAGTAGCCTATTCAAACAAACATTAAAACAGATATATAATCACAATATTAAATTTTAGAGACATAAATGAGCAAAAACTATCAACAAATTTTAGTAAGGAAATAAACTAAAAATAAATAATTATGATATTTAACCACGTGCAATGCACATGCATAAAAACTAGTATGCTTAAAGTTGCTGGTTACTCTACTTTCACTGAAAGTCCCATGTACAAGGCAACCTGTTCTTCCTCCAAATACCAGTGAGAATTTGGAGAACATACTTCACGAATTACCTTACGACGCAATTGTAAGGTTTCTGAAAATAGAAATCACTAAATCATCCACTTTTCCTGGCAAACAAACGAAAGATACACTAGTACACATCCATAGTCCACAAAAATTCACAAGTTGCATCTCCAGCCAACAACACAGTTGTAGATGGACTACGTTTGGGCTCAGCCCTCAGGATCTTCTTATTTCTTAAATAACACATCACAAAATTAAAAAAAAAACTTTCTAAATAGGAATTGACAAAGCTTTCTTCATTTTCTCCACCTCCAAATAAACAGTAGAATAAGGAAGAAACTCCGAGAAATGGCTTTGCATGAGATCATTAATAGCAATAGCAAGCTTCGGGATCTCTACTATCTCTTCATGAGTCAGTTTCCTAACGAACCTTGCAGGATTACCAGCCCAGAGTTCACCAGTTGGAATCCTACGTCCTGGAGGAAGCACAGAGCCAGCTTCGAGGATTGAGTTGGTCTCGACCAGTGAGCCTTCCATGAGAATTGAGTGCTGACCGATAATACATTCTGGTTCAATATTGCATGAACGTAAGAGACTGTATGCGCCGACCGTCACATAGCGGTCAATGGATGTCTCAGCGGGAAGTCCTGACAAATTAAAGCAGGTTGATGTTTAGATATTGTGGACGAAACATGAGGAAAGAATGCCATCTCTCACCAAAATATTAGAGGAAAATGAAACAGGCCTTCTGTAGAAGATCATATAGGGAGGATTCAGAATGTGATATGGTTTCCCACTACAATTTTTGAAGTTGACGACTGCACTATATTCAGTGGATAGTTTATACTGATATATCAACTATTTGCAGTGTCTTCTATTGATGGCACTGGTTTTATACAATGACTGTGAACTGACTTCAAATACACATCACATTCTCTCTCCACCCTATATGATTTTCTAGAATAGGATTTCCCCCTGAGATGTTTCAACTGGTGAAGATCATCGCTGGTTTGGCTAGTCAGAACATACACAGGAAAATGGACAGGAAGATGGTGCTTTCATGAGTATCAGGTTATCTAAAAATAAAATTACAAATAATACAATATCTCAACTAAGGAAAATATATGGATATCAAAAAATCCTAGGTTCACAATGATAAGACAAAAGTATGAACAACACTAAGTGTGTACATAGAAAAATGAGATCACCAGACAAGCTTCAGCAATAAATCTTTTCCAAAATAGCGAGTCCACTTTCATTGGTCAGACATAGGGCATTTTTGGTTTTAGAAAACGGCTCCACTTCCGATTTTTTTCCCCTCAAGACAAGTAGAAGGTAAAAGGAAAATTGGGAAAATAATGGAAACTGGAGTTTGTGCAATATGGTTTTGGGGCTCTTAATCTCTTCTCTTCTTAATCATCCATTTTCACACAAATCAAGAATAAAACTTGCATTTAACTTCCTGGTTTTTCACTTTCCTCAAGACACAAGATTTTAATGAAAAAATGGAAGAAGAAAAATATTCTTCTTTCTTTCCATTTTTATACTCTCTTTTCCAGTTATCATTTACTATTTGGCATCCAAACAGGGCCATAGAGTTCAATCGCTATATATTAAAAACTACTATAGATTCTCCATTTGTTGAGAGACAAAACATACAAAGTTCATCCTGGTCAGGAGTGACCGTCAAAGGGTATCTTACGATATGCGAGAATAGCCATATTTATCAGATATAGTATAAATATGATTTATGATATATTGGCAGTTGGAGTTTATGTTCTGAATATACAATATTTACCATTGCAAATAAACAATATTTTAAGTCACACGGGAGATATCACATAGGCTGTTGAACTTATGAAGTATATATGCTATTTGCTATATAAAGGGATGTTATCCGTAAACTACTTTTGTAGCATTATCATGGACTAGACACAAATGAGGGACACACAAGGAGTCACAAGGAAGTCAAAAGCGAAAAACATGAAACAGAACTTGCTTTAGTTTTATATTCAACATTTTGGGGTAGGATAGTTCTTCGACTGTCTGCAGACATAAACATATTACATAGTGCATTCAACCATATTTTTTGATTGATACTATAGTACAAACAGACACAAAGGCTTATCCATCCAGCCACTTGCCTATAGCATAAGGGCATTGTAGTATACGATAGATACCATCTGAGCGCAAAAAAAAAACATTATAACAATACACGTTGTTCATTGTTTAACTTTTGAATAGATGGTTGCGCACTTGTATACTTACCATAGAATGCTTGGTTGTTTGTGCATAAACTGCAAGCGAATACTTGCCCCAGTGTATGTCTTCCTTAGAGTGTAAGCCTGTAGTATAGAAATGGTAGGTAGGAGATTTCCCATTTGCTATCAGGCTAGATATTAAAGCATAGACTATAAAGGGTATGCCCTGAGAAAATCAGAGAGCTAGAAATTATGATTTTCACCTGCTATACACAGTACTACAGAATCAGGATATCTCCAAAAGTTCCTGTTACCTTGTAGGTTTTGGTGGCATATATTGGTTACCATCCAGAGTGTAATACCATTGGGATTGCACGCGAGTAACTTTCCAATCAACCAGCTATCACATCCGAACTGAAAAACACATTGCCTATTGCTAAGTAGAAATTGATTTATATGGGTATTGGAGGTTGCTGCAAAAATATTCAATTTAATTTGTGTTCTCAACCTGATACGGAGTTTATTTGAACTTTGATTAACCTTTGAAGTTTAATTTTTATCTCTGTAGTGCCCACTCCATATTAAGAAGAAACCCTTGAAAACTATTCAGAAATACAATCATCTCGCCAGGCCTCTTTATTTTTATACCCACAACTTGATCCTATGAAGAGAGTAGTTGCTCGTGGTAACCACCATGTTTAGTAATTTAAACTCTCTTCTGCATAATTCTGCGTGACATAGGCAGGAAACATGTTTTAACGTCGGTTATACACTAGATGACAAAGGCTTATGGCTAAATGTGAGTTTGATAGACATTCACAGAATTAAACCAAACCATGGTATGGTACGGTCTATCCCAAGTTGCATGTGTACAGGTACAGGTACATGACATGCCAAATTTGTAAAAGGTAGGATACAAGGAGATGGCTATATATATTGTCTCTATATATGTAATGTATATTCATGTATGTATTAATTTACATAAGTTCATTATTGTTTTTCAATTTCCATAAGATCAATTTATAAGAAATAGATGTGAAGTGGAGAATATACATCCAAGAAGTATATGTGTTTTAAATTAAAATATGTATTATATAATTGAGTACATGCCTGAATAAATGTATGCATGTATCCTAGAAGTATCCATGAAGTTTCAGTGCGGGTACGGATATGTGTCGTATACGGGTACGGCTCCCAATAGAAGTACCTAGGTAAAATAGGTATATTCTATTAATTAGCTATAAATTCTTTTAAGCCCACTTATGTGCCTTAAAATCATTCTTGGGAGCAGGTTTTTCATTATGAAAATGTCTCTTATTAATCTCACACTTGGTCCATGCTTCCATATCATTTATTGCCAGGTATCTACTACGTAACAGTCCGTGATCTATTGATCTCTTGTTGGAAATCCCAGTTCAAGACTATACTTGCTCTTTCCTTCTTTGTTGGAAACTTTACCGGTACTTTATGTGGTAATCATCTTCCAAGAACATATGCTGTGGTTCACTAATTTGCCAATATGTCAAATAAAGTTGATGTATTACACAATTAATATGAAAATTAATTTTCATCTGCTCGCATAGATTAGAATGCTTTTGTGTTTTTATTTTTTCCATCAATGACAAATGTCAAGAAATAGTGGAATCAATTAGCACTCATATATCATAAGTTACATCATTTCCAAGGTTAAGTTATCACCATAACTTGGTTACTTCAAGGATTTATTGGGTTTAATCAACAACCATTTGACATACCTTCCAACATGTCAAAGATTAATTTATAACTCGAACTTGGCTCTTCCCAATATTTGGGGCCAGATTCCATCCAATTTTCATGATAGGCGGACATCCACATTAAAGATCCTCTATGTGAGTTTGACCTACATAACTTTCAGTTCCTAAAAATCAAAATCTAGAAGTTTTAAGTTCTCTTAACACACATCAAGTAGCCATAAGACAGAAGGTAAAATAGAGAGTTACTAAACTTAAAGTTGTCAAATCTCAAAACCATAAATATGGTATATGAATGCTTTAAATTGTTCGTTTGATTTATACACTAAAATATTTGTTTTTCCCTCAAAAGAATATGTACACTCAAAATCATGTGTACTCAAAGTCATAGATCTAAACAACTAAGTACTTTCTACCAACTACTTATTTCCTAGTTGATATATTAAAAAACCCTTAAATTTTAGTTTCTCCTAATTTTACTTATGATATCTCCTCTAAATGTCCTCATTTCTCTATTAATCAAAAGCCACCTTATCTATGAATTACACTTTAGTCCTAATTCTGATATATGTAGGAGTCTAGGAACGCTCGTAACTAGCGCCTTAATTGTTGAATGCAGATAATCGCTGTTCTTTTCAAACCCTTTTTTTTTCTTATGGGCTATTTAGAAAGTAATGAGCATGAATAATAGGAAACTTTGGATGCCTACCAATACATAGTTGGTGGTTTTTGTTGTAAATCATCCATTAATAATTTCTAGCAGAGTGGCATACTTGTACTTGTACCTGTATAACATAGCTTGTATTGATCAAAACTATTATAAATTTATCACAAAATGGACCTCATGCGTCTCAACCAAGCTGCCATCTCTGTTCATTTGCTTAACATGTATTTCTCTCTAAAGATCATAATGGCTCTCCATTTTTCCGGCTGAAAACAATCACAGTTTTTTCAACCTTCCATCTCTCACACAAAAATATAAGTCGAAACATCAAATGCTATCAAAGCAAGCATATAACCCTGCCTAGAATTCTCTGCATCTCTATCACTTTCCAGATTCCTCTGCAGCCATTTTATGGGATTCAGTACCCTCTTCACTCTCCAACATGCTTATGAAACATGCTTGCCAACCTTGTGTTCCTACATTTAATCTGCATCGTTTGGTGACTAGGAAATTTATCGCCTTCAAAAAATAAAAGGTAAAATAAACTAAAAATATAATAGTGTTAGAAAGAACTACAAAAGGCGCATTATATACATCACCAAATTAAAAATAATTGATGCCATTACTTGTCATACGTTAACAAGTTCCCAACTCCGAAATGAGGAAACTGATTCTTTAATGACTACTTTGTCCCCACTAGGCACCAGCAATGTGTAATTCCACCATAATCTCACTATAAGAATAGCAAATTTCCTAATGTTCTCGAAGGGAAAAGTTCATCCCCTCACTCTGTTATTGCTCAAGCTAAGGCTTCGATGCTTGTGAATCCATCTAATTCCAAGAAGCAGCCTTTGAACAATCCAACCAATACCGAGCCCCATCAACAACCAAAGTGGCATCCTCATGATCAAACAGATGTAACAGTGAACGTAGATGGAACATGTAATAACGAAGGAGCTGCATGGGCAGGTGTTCAGAGGTTATAAAATGAGAGAGTTTTATTTATCACTTCAGATCGGAGCTCTTACACGACAGCTGAAGCAACGGAAGCTTTAGAAGTTTTGCATGCTCTAAAAATTACTTCAGCTCTTGACTATCAAAGAAATCTCGTGCTTTCGGATGCAAAAGTAGTTATTGATAAACTGAGCTCCCCTCAGAGCAACGCTACTCATTAGAGAATTCATCATGTGATTTCTGAATGTAAGAATATTTTAGAAAATCATCCTACAACTAGCATCTTCAATGTTAGGCGTAATTCTAATGTAGCTGCTCATAACCTAGCTTCCAAAGCTTTAGAACTCGACCTATATGGAGATTGTTTGGATTGTAATTGGCCTACACCATTAGCTGATTGCATTTGTATGACCTGCAAGTTTATAAGTCATCAATAAAGCAAGGCTAAAGCCTTTTTTCCACCAAAAAATCCTAATGTTTTGACTAGCATCATGGCAACTCAAACTCACTAAATTCTCCTTAAAAGCAAAATAGAAGGTTTAAGACTTAGTATTTTCAACTAGCTAAACAGATGCTCACCAATTAACAGTGTTCTACATAAATTTCATGCAACCTGTCTTTATAGACTTAATATTCATTCTAACGCAACATGGACACTAAAGATTAATCCAAGTGTGTCAATACATGCATTTTCTTTCAAACCCAATAAAGTTCTAACAATAAAACTTGAACGAGTGAAGACTAATCCTAATTTTCAATAGACAAATTCTTTTCTTTCTCTTAGTAATATAAGGATTGATGAGTACATTTATTCAAATCTTCAATATATTTAATAGTTTTAGCTTAAAAATATTGAAGTTGAGTTCACCAACCACAACATGTAGTGCATTATGGTCTTGCCTTAAATTAGATATTTGTTTAATTTGCATTTGCTGTTGTTGTGTTGTTAAACCTTTTTAGCGGGAAAAATTAAAAAAATATATGTATATGCCCTCATAGTAGTGACAACTCCCTGATCATCACTACGTAAAGTTGTAAACTTGATGAGGTGGAAAATAAATCTTCAGAATAGTTGATAGCATGCAGCAATATCCTTCTTTTAGTTAGACTAGATTAATGTAATTTCTCCAAATCCAAATATTACCTGTCAAGCCATCACACAACTACATTACATGAATCTCCATGATCCTTGGTTCACAAAATGCTCAGTTTGGTGCATTTTATTTTCATCACTACTCAAATTCAGTAAATCAAGATCAACCTTAATATCACTAGATTTCAGATAGTAGACCTGAATTAAAAGAAGCTAAAATTATGGCTACCTAGTGCTTTCACCTTAAGCTCTAATCATGCTGAAAAAGCACAAAAACTAACTCAATTCCTTGATGATAAGAATAACAATTATATCTGATTCAGTATAGACTTTAAAAACTAATAAAATGACATCAAAACATATAGTTATTAAGTGACATTAAAAGATATATATTTATTAAAGAATCAAGATGGAGAGATGCCTAAATCACATATAAAGAAAGGGAGAGGAACCTCCCACCCTCCCAAATTCTTAGCGTTGGTTGAAA